TATGAGTCATTCCCAAATTAATAAATGATCAAAGGATATGAACAGGCAGTTTTTGGAGGAAGAAATTAAATTTCTAAATAATCATATGAAAAAATGCTCTAAATCACTATTGACTAGAGAAATGCAAATTAAAACATCTTTGAGATACCAATTCACATCTATCAGATTGGCTAAAACGATAGAAGGAGAAAATAACAAATGTTGGAACCTATGTGCACAAATTGAGACATTAATACACTGTCGGTGAAACTGTGAACTGATCCGACCATTTTGGAGAGTAATCTGGAATTACACCTAAAGAGTTATGAAACTATGCACACACACCCACTGACCCAGCAATACCACTATTAGGTCTGTTTCTCAAAGCGATCAGGGAAAAAGGAAAAGAACCTATATGCTCTAAAATATTTATAGCAGCTCTCTTCAGGGTGGCAAAGAACTGGAAATTGAGAGGATGCCCATCAATTGAGGAATAGCAAAATAAGTTGTAGCATATGCTTGTGGTGGAATACTATTCTGCTGTAAAGAAATTATGAGCAGGTTAATTTTAGGAAAACATGGAAAGACTTGTATGGAATAATAAAGAGTAAAACAAACAGAACCAAGAAAAAGTCATAAAAAGTAACAACAATATTGTTCAAAGAGTAAATGTGAATGGCAGCTATTCCAAGTTATATGAACATTCAAATCAACCACAAGGGACCAATGAAGAAAATGCTACCTACCTCCAGAGAAAGAACCAAAATATGGAGCTATGTATGATATAATTTCGTGTGTGTGTGTGTGTGTGTGTGTGTGTGTGTGTGTGAAATGCTGGGTTTCTCTAGTGCGAGGTTGGGAGGGGGGAAGGAGAGAAATAGCTTGGAACATAAACGACACATCATAAGAAATGATGAAAGGGATGGACTCAGAAATACCTGGGAAAACTTGTATGAACCAATGCAAAGTGAAGTGAGCAGAACCAGGACAACAATTTATATGACCACAAGAGTGCAAAGCGAAACAACTATGAAAGATTTTAACTATGATCAAGGTGGCAAACAAGCACAACTCTAGAAGACTGATGATGAATCATGCTTCCCACTTCTTAATAAAGAGGTGATGAATTAGAGTAGCAGAATGAAACATACACTTACAGAAAAAGTCAATGGGTGGATTTGTTTTGCTTGACTATGTTTATTTGTTGCAAGGGAAAACTTTTTTTGGCAGGGAGGAGGGAACAGAGAAAAGAGTTACAGGGTGTGTGACAATAATACCAAAACTACAAGAAGGAAAAATCAATGAAGATTTTAAAAAATGCACAGAAGAGAGCACAATGAAGTTCAGAATGGAAAAAAGATAAGCAGGGCAGTGTTGAAATTACTGAGTTAAATTTAATGCACGCTTGGGAAAAAACAAACATTCACAGTATCATATAAAATACTCGTTTTCTGTTCTTTTTATAAGAAAATGCTCATGTCTGTTGATGTCTGCCAAGTTCATAATAGTCAAAAAAATTCATTTTTAAAAAATCCTTACAAATTTGTTTACCATTATTCATATTTGCTGTCATCTTGGTTTTACCCTTAAACATCCCTGGGATAATTTTACCAAGATGGGTCCCCTGACATTTTCTTTAAACTTGTTTAAACTAGGCTTCAAGTCAAAATAACATTTTGGAGACCCAATCTTAAAAATAGCTCCTCAAGAATGATAGCAGTAAGAACAAATAACCTGATTAATCCTCTTTTCCAACATTCCTTAAGCATTTCATTAATACATCTTCACTTATTTCATCAACTTAGGTATTAATAAAGGGAATGACAAACAGTATACTTACACTTTTTAACAAGTTCAACATAGAAATCAAGTTTCTGAAACCACAGAAGGTGGGCCAGTCACACAGTGAAACCAAGAGGTAACAAATGAACAACAAAACTTACTCTAGTACACACAAACTATAAAATGACCTAGAAAATGGACGTCCAACACTTAGAGCTGCTCTATAAAAAATCTATGGGAGTACATGGCAAAGAAACACAGGATGAGAAGGCATGGATGAGTTACAATCTTCACTGATATTGGGAATACACACATAAATGAGATCACCTGACCAGAGAAAGACAAAGAATCTCTTGATAACACTGTTTGGTCTATATGAACTTCATCCATCAGACCATATCCAATCCCTCTATAATTGGAAGATAACTATTAGTGAATTACATGAGGCTCCAAGAATTTAAGGGATGTAATTATGGACATACAACTAATAAGTGCAAAGAGGGGAGGGAACTAAGCCAACCTGACTCCAAATTCAGCCCATTCTTAGCTATACCATACTGCTTCTAGCGCACTGTTATTACCCCCAAACAATTTTCTCCTTAACTGTATGTGAATGTTGATATTTAGACGGAACCTAGTACCAAACTTCAGTAGAAAAGAAAAATAAATGCAGAGAGATTACAACAAAACATGACTTCACTCTCTCCTTACTCATATACACTTCCCATGGCATATCATTTTCATTCTAGACAGATTAAGATTTTGCTACCTATACTACAATCACCAACTCAAACCTAATACCATCAAGAAAAGCAAGAACACAATCAACTAGGCTTTAGTGATATTGCTTTAATTAGTTTCAAAGTTTTGGCCTATATTTAATTTCCAATTACAATTTCTACTAGGTGCAATGCACATATCCAAATATATTGTTTCTCTGGACATATTACAGGATACATTTAATATTTAAACTAACACATCTGACATCAATCACTTTCCATGTCACCCCAAGGTAGACTTCTATTTAAAATTAAATTAATTGCTGCCATTCCAAGAAGCATTTAGAAATGTTCTTCCAATATTTCTTAAGAAACTAGAAGCCTCTTCTCAACTTGAGCACAAACTAGCTCAGTAACATCTGATCCTTTTGTTTAGATATATTGTTACTGGCCACTTGACTTTACAAAAGAAGGTTTTCCATAACCCAGCTCCAAGAAATGTTGAAATGACATAATCATTTTTAAATGCAAGTGAATTTAAATTTTATTTTTTGAATATTTTTCATCCCATTGTGCAACTAACTACCCTAGAGGCACTGAAGACACTCTGGGGTATGGGAAAAAAAAATTGAGATCCATGGTACTAGTTTCTTATTGTATCTGCTCACTGTATTTAAGCATTTACACTTGATAGTACAATGTTTGACACTCTTACTAAGACGTTCAACTCAGTTTTAACCAAGAGGAATTTCTCTCAGATTGGGGTATCCTTTTTTAAAAGATATTGATAAATAATGATTAGACTGGCCCCTTCAATGGGGGGGGGAGGAACAGGTAGATAGAAAGAGTTAGAATGACTGAGTTTATACATGCAGCCTGAGGACACCAAAGGAATAGTACCAACCTCTGTGGTAATCCTTATCCATCCTACTCAAGACTAGTAAATTCAAAGGCATCTAAGATGGTCTCACTCTCCAGCACAGGTTAACTTTTTGTGTGTCCTGGACCCTTATGGCAGTCTGGGGAAGCCTATAGACCCCTCCTCAGAGCAATGTTTTTAAATCCATACAACAAAATATACAGGATTACAAAGGATATCAATTATATTGAAATAGTTATCAAAATATTTTTAAAATAAATTCACCTCCCCACACTCTATGAATCTATCCACAGACTCCTTTAGAATCTGTGGACCTCAGGTTAAGAATCCCTGCTCTAGATTAATGCTAGGTAGCTATTCCCTTTGTCTACCCAAGTATAAAATCTACTCTAAGAAATAACTCTTTCACCCCCCCCACATGAAGAATATTTTCTGGATTACTTTGGTTGCAGAACTAGGCCAAGACTGGTACCCAAGGGCACCGGAGAAGAGAGAGGGAGAGGAAGAGGAAGAGGTAGGGAGGGAGAAGGAGGGAGAAAGAAGAAGGGAGAGGGAGGGAAAGAGAGGAAGAGAGAGGGGGAGGGAGAGAGAGAGAGAGAGAGAGAGAGAAAGAATACACACACACACACACACACACACACACACACACACACACACACACACACACACACCCCTTCTTATACCCTTGTTGTAATCAAATAATCCACTGTATGCTATTAATAAATTCTAAAGTTAGATTAGAGGTGGAGGTGATTGTGTTTTTGTTCCTTGAGATCCAGACCTAAACGAATGCCAATATAAACCTTTTTTTTACATAATGGGCTAAGTGAAATACTATAATGTGCCATGGTAGAAAGATGGATTAGGTATCATTTTTATCCCCAGAGAAGTCACAATTCAAATGAAGTTAAAACAGGTTAGAAACAGAATTTCAATATAGCAATTAATCAACATATACATATATCAAGTGCCTATTATGTACAAAGTACTATGGAATACACAATGCCTATGACAGTTCTCATCCTCAGAAAGCTTAAAAATTAAATATCCTTGAAATGATCTTAGAAAGAAATTTAATTGCTAAATTAAATTAATAATTTAAATTATTAAATTAAAATTTAGCAATCATCTTGGAAAAATTGAAGTCTATTCTTGAGAAGGATAAATGTACAAATGTACTGAAAATATCTCACAAAACCACCTACCTCCTAAAGTATTTAAATGGCATACCTTAATGTTAAAATTAAAGTGAATTTAAATATTTTTATTATTTTCAGAAAATTTTATAAGAGCCCTAGATGAAAGCAGAAAATCCCAAGTTAAAACTAATAGATGTAGTCTAAGTAGAAAAGAAAGGATTAGTTTTGGATGAGAGAATACTACAAAGTTCACTAGAAACTGTGAAATCGAAGAGTACTGAGCTGCGAGCAGGGATAACAATCCCTTTGCTACTGAGTTACTGTGGAGGTTACTGTGTAATACAAATTATATCAGTATCCTCATCTATAAAATGGGTTAGTTATTACAGAGACAATAAATGATTATGATTCACTTCATTAACACGAAGCTATAGAAGTTCCATGTACAGTTACATGAATATCTTTAAGACAGCACTAATTTAAATTGAGTCCATATCTTACATGTGTTCCAGCTCCTTCTGTGTATCTTCCATAGAAATGCCCAGCAACACACAAATGCCCCGTCCAATGGAACTTATCTGCTCCTCGCCAACTAAGAAAAAAAAGTAAAAAAGAAAAAAAGAAATCAGTGAAATTAATAAATAACTAGCAAATTTTATGGTGCAAGCAACAATTATAACAGAATGTTTAAAAAAAAAAACTTTCCACTTCCCATAATTTCTAGAGCGCTATGAGTATGTAACACAAAATAGTAGGAGCTAAAGAAATAACCAATTGAATTTACTTTTCATTCCCATTTCATATTGGGGGAAATTCTAAATATCTGGACAGAATAATAAATTATAAATTAAGGCATAAGGTAAATAAATCATCTAAAAACAATTCTGATGCCGCATTTTTCTATTTCAAAACTGGTAAGAGCTGTACCTTAGGGACATTGTTGGATTAAAATAAAAATGTCATAATTTTCTTCTCATCAGAAAAAAGTTAACAAATAGCAGAAATTCTGAAAACACAGCCTACATAAAACTCCCATATAGGACAAACATCTCCAGTTCCTTTGAAGGATCCTTAGTAGATACAGCTTCAAGTTCCCTCACCATCCTGCTTTCACTCCTCTAAAAAGCCTCTACCTTGTTCCACTAGCTTCCATTATATTCCAAGAACATATGTAACAAAAATAAAGGATATACACATATATGCATATAATTACACATAATATATTATTATACATAAATATATCCATACACACAATTGGGTAAAGAGAAGAAAGGATAAGGGAATAAGCATTTATATAGCACCTACTACATTCTAGGCACTGTGCTAAGTTAGCACTTTCCAAATATTTTCTAACTATTTTCTGACTACAACCCTGTAAGGTAGGGGATATTATTATCCCCATTTTACAACTGAGGAAACTGAGGCAAACAAGAAGTTACATGACTTGCCTGGAGTTGCAGAGCTAGTAAATGTATTAGGCTGGATTTGAACTCAGGTTTTCTTGACTCCAAACCCAGTGCTCTATCTACTATGTCACCTAGCTGTTTCTATATGTATGTATGTGTATGTACATATATATACATAATACATCTGTACTTATACATGTGTATGTACTTATATATCTATATATCAAATACATCTAGATAGATTAATCTCTAAAAAGTCATAGTATAATCATTTGTATAACAAAGAAGTGGAAACAAAATAGGTGTCCATCAGTTAGGGAATGGCTGAACTAAGTATTTTATTTGAATAAAATTTAACATTATTGAACTGTAAGAAACGACAAATATAAGGAACTCAGAAACAGAACAAGACAAACAATGAAGAATTTAAGAAGCTAAAAGAAGAAAATATGAATTATTGTACTAATGTACATGATTATAGCACTAAAATGTCTCAGAAAAGTCCTAGTTCAAATGAACTAAAACTAGTAAGGAACAGAACCTCAATATTTCAATTAATCAACACTATGCATATTGAGTGCCTACTACATGCAGAGTACTATAGATCACACAATGCCTATGGCATAGTCTCTATCATCAAAGAGCTTAAAAACTAAAAATCCTCAAAATAATTTTTAAAGAACATTTTTAAAATTAAAATTTAGAAATCATCTTGGAAAAATTTAAGTCTTGAGAATAATAAATGTATAAATGCACCAAAAATATCTCCACCTACTTCCTAAAAGTGCTTAAATAGAATACCAATTTTTGCTCACGCTCTAATATCGCAGAAATCTGAGAACCAGATATTAAAGTGTGAGCAAAAATTGGTTTTTTTGCCTTTCTTTGCTTTTCCATATTAGGTATTTAATGCTTGCTGACTAATTAAAAGGGAATCAAACTGATGAATTATAATGAACTCTTACTGCTGAAGAACTGATACTGAAAAATACTTCCTGACCAAAAAGTCAAGAATCTCAAGGGAATTAATGACAAAAAAAAGTGAAAAAGAAGGAGACCTAAAAGTATCAGATCTTAAAGTATAATACAGAGCAACAATCATCAAAGTAATTTACAACTGAGTAAGAAATAGAGAGGTTGGTCAGTGGAGAGGAGAAGGGGACAAGAGAGCAGGGGGATGATAAGAGAGGAAGGCAGATTGGGAAAGGGGGTAATCAGAAGCAAATACTTCTGAGGAGGGACAGGGTCAAAAGAAAGAATAGAATAAATGGGAGGGAAGGATAGGATTAAGGGAAATAGAGTTATTTTTTCACAACATGTCTACTATGGAAGTATTTTGCATAACTGCACATGTATAACCTATATTGAGTTGCTTGCCTTTTCAATGAGGGTGGGTGGGGAGGGAGGAAAGGAGAAAATTTGGAACCCAAAGTTTTAAAAACATATGTTTAAAAAAAATGTCTTCACGTGCAACTGGGAAATAAGAAATACAGGAAATGGGGTACAGAAGTCTATCCTGCCCTACAGGAAAACAGAAGGGGAAGAATAACAGGATAACAGAAGGAGGGGGGGAGAGATAAAAGAGCAGGCAGACTAGGGGAAGGGATATTCAGAAAGCATGCCATCTTGGGGCAGGGGGAGGGGTGAGATGGGGTAAAAATTTGGAACTCAAAATCTTGTGGAAGTAAATGTTGAAAACTAAAAATTAATAACTTTATATTAAAAAAAGAAATAGAGGATCACAACAAGTAAAATAAACAAGTTGATTATATTAAATTTAAAAGTTTTGCACTAGCAAAATCAATACAGCTAAATTTAGATGAAAAGCATGTAAATGGGGGGGGAGAAATCTTTGCAGCAAGTTTCTCTGATTAAGGTCTTATTTCGAAGATATACAGGGAAATGATTCAGAGTTATGAGAACAAGAGCTATTCCTCAATTGAAAATGGTCAAAAGATAAGAACAGGCAGTTTTTAGAGGAAGAAATCTACCAACAGACATAAAAAATGCTCTAAATCTCTAATAATTAGAGAAAAATGAATTAAAACAACTCTGAGGTACTACCTCACAACCCTCAGATACACAAAGTTGTCCAAAAAAGGAAAATAACAAATGCTTGAGGAAGGGAATAAACATTTATATAGTATTTTCTATGTGACAAGTGCCACAAGAAAACAGCCTGTAGGGGCTATGGTAAAACTGGTGAATTTTTTTTTTCCCTTACAGTGGAACTGTGAACTGATCCAGCCTTTCTTGGAAACAATTTGAAACTATGCAGAAAAAGTTATTAAACTGTCCCTATCTTTTGATCCAGTGATACCACCATCTATAGTTCTATACCCCAAAGAGATCAAAGAAAGAGGAAAAGGACCCATATGTAAAAAATATATATATTTATAACTGCTTTATTTGTGGTGGCAAAGAATTGGAATGGAGGGAGGAGGGGAAACACCTAACAATTGGAGAATGGCCAATGAAGTTCAATCAATCAATAAACATTTATTAAGCACTTACATAAGTGCCAGGCATTGTGCTAAGCACCAGTATATGGATGTGATGGAAAACTACTATGCTATAAGAAATGACAAAAGGGATGTTTTCAGAGAAACCTGGGAAGACTTACATGAACTGATGAGAAATGAATTGAGAAGAACCAGAACAATTTATACAATCACAACAATATTATAATGACAAACAAATCTGAAAGACTTAGGAACCCTGATCAACACAGTGAAACTGTGATAAACACAATGACCAACCACAATTCCAAAGATCTTACTATTAAACAGGCTACCAACCTCCTAATAGAGAAGTGATGAACTCTGAGTAGAGTCAGAGACTTTTTTTTTTTAATATGACCACTGTGGAAATTTTTTTTGCTTATACACGTTTGTAAACAGGATTACGTTTTTCTTGTTTTCTCAATATGGGTGGAAGGACTGGAGATGTGGAATTACACTTTTATAGCTGGTGATATTTGCTACCCAAAATTTGGTACCCAAATTTCTGGGTACCAATACCTTAGATCCGTTAAGACCTTTTGTTCAGTCATTTTTCAGGTATCTCCAATCCTTTGTGATCCCATTTAGGGCTTTCTTGACAAAGATACTAAAATGGTTTGCCATTTCCTTTTCCAGCTCATTTTACAAATGAGGAAACTCAGGCAAATGGAGTTAAATGATTTGCCCAGGGTCATACAGCCAGTAATTGTCTGAGGCCAGATCTGAACTTAGGTCTTCCTGACTCCAGGCCCAGCACTCCATTCACTGAGCTTTCTAGCAGCCCCTACATTCTATAGAGGGAGAGAATATATATACACATATACACACACACACACACACACACACACACACATGAGCGTGCGCGCACATTGGAAATGCAGAATAATTTCAAGAAGGAGATACGATCAGATGGTGAGGGAAAAGACAAAGAAATTTCATGTACAAGGCTGCATTTGAGCTGAGATTTGAAAGAAACTAGGATTCTAAGAAGCAGAGGTGAGGAGAGTTCATTCCAGGCATGGGGAACAGCCAGTGCAAATACACTGAGTTGTGAGATGGAGAAGTGAAGAATAGAAAGTAGGTCAGTTTGTCTGGACTACCTTCTGCATGGAATAGATATATTTGGTAAGACGGGAAAGGTAAACTGGGATCAAGCTGTGAGGGGCATTAGCCACCAAAGGAGTTTTTTGTTATTTGATCCTAGAGGTCCTAGGGAGCCACTGAAATTTATCAAGGAGAAGAAATGATATGGTCATGCCTTAACTTAAAGAAAATCACTTTGGCAGTGATAAGGAGATGTCTTGGAGAAAGGAGAAATTTGAGACAGAGAGAGGAATTCAAGAGCTATTACAATAGTTAAAGCAAAAGATAATATAACTAGCGATAATTATGGCTAACATGTATATAGTGCTTTGTTGATTACAACATCAAATATTATTGTTGGTACAAGTATTATTATCTTCATTTTTGCAGATGAGAAAACTGAGGCTCAGAAAATTTAAGTGGTTTTCCTATGGTCATAGAGCTAATAAGTACTGAAGGTGGAAATCAAATTCAAATCTTCCTGACTCCAAACCTACCACCCTCTCTCCTATCTATATCACATTACCCTAGGTAGAACCTTAAATACTCTCTCCTCTGTAATAATCACAAAAGAATCAAGGAATGATATTTCATACTATATG